AAAGCCATGAAATTGCAAATAATCAATTGTACCGCGATAAGAATAAATCCACGATTGTAATGATTCTCTTTTCCACGACAGAATAATGCGATCGCCATTAGCGTATTACTGTTAATACCATAAAGTAAGAAAGTGATAAAAAGCATAACTGCTATATATTTCATGACCTTATGATTCTCATCTCTTATATCGGTCAAATATGTCGCGTTTCTTTCCTGACAGGTTACAGGCAATATCAGAAATAATACAATAATATAGCAATGACGAGTAAACATTTTAATTGATTATCTTTAAGAGGAAGAAGAAAAGAATATCAGCTGACTGAAATACAAACTGCCAAGAATTGCGAGATTCAGAATTAGTATGTATTAATATGAAGCAATTATTATTTGATCGTGAAATAATATATGCATTTCTTTAGAAATTGCCATAGAAATCGCTTATAATTTCTGCTTTTACACGTAGGAACAATGCTATTTAATGATTTCAATTTCTAAATTACAAATTATTTTCAGTCTTTAACTAACTCAATTTACATGGCAATTTATTTTCTTTATTACGTAAGTCATTTGAAAATAACGAACCAATCACGACGATTCAATGAAAAATAAATTGGAAGCAATTAAATTACGGTGAAGGGAAATAGACTGTGATTTTTCTACCTTTCAGCCGTCGTATTTTTTGCTGTATTACCTTCAGCATCGGGAACATTCTGAAAAGCTTTTTCAATTTTAGTTACAAAATTATTTGTGAAAATATTTTAAATAAATATAACGCACGCGAGGTCTGGAATATCTCTTTTGATTTTGGCACGATGTCTAATTAATTTACTGTTGTTAGTGAATCAGTCCTTATATTCAAAGAAATCTGCACATAACGATGATGGCAAAGGCAAATGTATTGACAACTGCGTGAAGGTATACGTATTTATTCACTGATTGCACATCTTTAATTGAGTCTATGTAATTAACATAGCACTGTATAATTAATATATATATTTGAAAAAATATCAACTGTTAACTGCAAAAGCTGCAAGAGAGTTAAGTTTCCATTTGGACTCTAATTTGTAGTTTGTAAATTAGGATCAAAAAACGTCATTGCTTCCGTGTCTGAAAGAAATGACGATATCGTTAACATTGATCTTAGCGATTTCTATGATAGCGGTACATGTGGTAATATTTATTTCGCTATTAAATTATAATTGTTTCGTAATTAATGCATATAAGCTCCGGATTCTAATTCACAATTATTGGCAGTTTGTATTTCAACCAGTTAAAATCCTTTTCTTCAATTAAAATGTTAATGAATTGAAAGAAAATATTAATCAATTAAAAAATGAAACTTGTCAGGAACGAAACACATGTGTGGCTGATAATAATGATGTGAATCAGATGGTTATAAAATACAAAGCAATTATATTTTTTATCGTTTCCGTGTTACATAGTATTGTTTATTATATTTCATCTATCACTTATTATTACTAACTTAATAAGCAATCGATGAAAGCAAAAAGTTTAGCTTCGATCAATAACATTTCTTATCTTTTCAGTGCATATTCTGTCTTTCAAATCTTAACAAATAAATTTTGTTGTGTTATTGCAACAAATTCAATTACTTATTAACTTTTCTATTTTGTCGTTTGTCAATTATATTATGGTATTATTATTATTATTATTATTATTATTATTATTATTATTATTACATATATATGTTTACGTAAAATGTATTCATTATTGCTATGATTTGTTGTAATGAAATTGATTCTTTACACTTTTACTCGACGAAATCACAATCGTTTATTATCTTCACAAAAGCGTATTTCTTCAAATTTTCAATGTGAGACGTAAATTCGATGTATTTGAGGTATGAAATTACCTGTGTTATATAATATGCATAATTAACATTCATTAGGCATATTCGGGTGTCATGCAAATATTTGATAATCAATTATATTTAGTTATCAAATGATTTCTTCTCAGGTGGCTAACAATAATAAATCGAGCATTCAGCAATGTTAATCACATTCAGAGATATTGCAACTCGTTGAAGGCGAAATAATAGGCAATGATATGTATTTTAAAAAAGCGTTGATTATTGGGGGAATTTTGAATTATATTCAAAATGATTGAAATGTCTATTTTATTATAACATTTCAGGAAATTTCTTAATTTATCGTAGAGGTAAAGCTGAATGACCTCATCAATTACATCAACAAAATTTAATGTTTGAGTAATTTTTTGAGCTATTCTAAAATGAATTTAATATAAACACAATAAGGCAGTCATATGCAATAAGATTTCAATCATATAAAGTAAGTAAAATTTAATCCGTTAAATTTATTAAATTATAACCAATTCTAATTTATTCTTCCGGTTGTTGAGAATTGATAAGCGATACTGCATATCAGTAAGGTGGAAGTAATAAATTCTCTGCCTGCAAAATCTACAATAGTTCGATAATTTGAAGTGTACAGATTTGAATTTAACACTTCACATTAAATCAGATATTTTAACCTTTTCCTTTTGACCTTTCGGTTTGACCTTTTGACCTTTCGATAACTCACAATGAAATACTTTGATTCACACAATTTTTCATGGTACTTTTGATAATTTTCTCAATTTTAAAATGTTTTTTGAATATTTGTAACAATATTGCTCCGAATGAAAATGACAAGTCAACAACAACACATAGAAATTAAATACATAATTTTAATGATTGCATTTTATTGTTCTTCAAAATGTTCACATTATCCAAAACACATTCATCATCCTATCCATATGAAAAAGCTTAAATGTCTTTTTAAAATATTATCAAAGATTACGCAGAAGATAAAAAGATTATTGTTGTATCAGATATTAATACTAACGATCACCTCCGAAAAATACGAATTATTAATTAAATACACAATGGAATACTTGAAAAATTGAAGTCATTGAAGTTTTATATTCAATCAATGATTCATCTAATTAAATTCAAACAATTAATTGAAAATTCAATCAATGGTTCATCTAATTAAATCCAAACAACTAATTGAAAATTCAATCAATGATTAATCCAATTAAATCCAAACAACTAATTGAAAATTCAATCAATGATTAATCCAATTAAATCCAAACAACTAATTGAAAATTCAATCAATGATTAATTCAATTAAATCCAAACAACTAAATGAAAAGGCTCACTTAAAAAGTGTTCACATCAAATCAGAAATAATATTTCGCCTAAATTATAAATAATAGTAATGATAAAGTATAATTAGGTTAAGGTAACTTTAAAAATAATCTTATACATATATATATCATTTTCACTCTTTCCATTCCCTCTCCATCCTTCCCTTTTCTCCATTCAAACATTCGTCTTATCAGTACTTTTAACACTTATAGACTATCATCGAAAAATTTTATCGATTTCATCTCTCTCTCTCATCCTCCTTCTCCTCCTCTCTTTATCTTCCTTTCTCCTCCTTTCTTTTCACCCTCCCTTCTCTCCCTCTTTCTATTCCTTCTTTTCTCTCTCCTTATCTCTCTTTCTCTATACGCATCTTCAACACATATAGAGAAGAAGAGATGAAAAGAAAGAAGCAAAAAAAGTGGAAAGGTTCCCTTTATCCCTCACTGTTCCACTTTCATTTTCATTGTCTGTGTGTGTGTGTGTGTGTGTACACGTTCGCTAATATTTATATTTATATATATGTGTATGTGTGTGTGTGTGTGTGTGTATATATCGGATAGATGTTAATAGTGGGTGTTATAGACATCCAACGATATTTGATACGATTTTCTCCTCACTCTTTCCATTCACTCTATTTGCTAATTGACTCCCAACATTATCTTATCATTCCAATTTCCTATCCGTTACCCATTCGTCTAATCAATCCACCACCCACTCGTCTGCCCAATCCGCCATCCATTCAACCGTCCATTGCTGAAATGATTTTTAGGCTTTTGTACAATCGATTTTCTTTCTGCCAATTAGCCATAAATTAATTAACTTTTTTCTCTTTCAAACAATTGCACACTCTGTAATTGTTTCTTTATTCTATGATGGAGAAAATTCGAGAGAAATTCACAAATTTTCAGACGTAGAATTGGAATATTGCCGAGAGTTAATTGCATTTAAATCTAATTTTCTTTGTTTTTTTAGAGAAAAATTCTTTGTCAAAGAAAATTATATGAAAAGAAATTTTTTGATAAAGTAAAATTCTTTTTAAGTGAAATTAATTTCCAATTATATCAAATAACTGATAGAAAATAAATATACAAAATGAGACGAAACAAATTGCATTATTTTCCCGTAGAAAATACAAGACATAATGGAAAGTACAAATTTTTTAAAAATAAAGAATTAAAACGGCTAGAACTTATTTTTCTTTTTCTTTCTTGCTGCCACCTTTTCTTTTTCCTCTTTTCAATGATATATGGAAGATAAATATCTCTTCACTAATACTAAGGAAATGTTTCCATTCACTTTCGTGTTTCTTCCCATTCATCGAATCGACATCTTGCTCATTTAACATCTCTATATAGTTTCATTTCATTCTTTATCAAATTTCGGTAAAATTCGAATCGCTTTAGAAATCTTGTGGAAAATAAATGCAAACTCTTATTTACACAATCAAAGATGAAAGGAAGGAATAAGCAAGTTCGATAAATTACAAATTTAGCAGAACTGTTAGGAAGGAAATTCTGTTAGCATTTTATCTTTTAATAAACGAAATAGGGTAGAAGAGGTGGTGATGAATTCGCTGAATTCGCTCGATTTTAATATTTCAAGTATCCTTTGAATTTAAAAGTTAACGTCTATATAAAATGTAGGAAAATAGTCATTAGCAATTGATAATTCTAAGAGTGCTTTTGTCATTCTAAACTGAGATTAACTGATAGCTATGGCTATGATACGTTTCACGTTCATATGTACACATTAAAAAATGAAACTTCTTATCTCATTGTTCATTATTTAAGCAATTTTCTCGTCGATTCACAAGCAGCACATCATTGACTATGCCGATCACACGTGTTCACGCCCGTCCTATCTATGATTCACGTGGTAATCCAACTGTCGAGGTTGATTTGACTACTGAGAAAGGTATGGCATGTCGCTTTCTTAAAATAGCATTGTTCTCTTTTTTTCAGTTAAAAAAAACGAAAAAATCAGTTTCCTCAAATTTTTTTTAAATGAAGGGATTGATGAACATGAAAAACGGTGCGAAATGCGAAGATTACAATGAATTATAATATAAGTTAATGAGGAACGTAGCAATCTTTTTGATGGAACATGTAAAATTTCGTCGTATATTTTGCAGAGAAGAAAAGACATTTATTTAACAGTCAATCAATCAATCGTTTTGATATTGAAGCGAGTTAGGAAATTTCTATCGTGAAAGAAACTCTCCATGATGATTTTTATATAGATCAGAATGCTTACTATAGGATTAGCTTCTGTAGACTTGTACAGCATTAACATCTATTCACCGCTAAAGTTAACAGCTAAAGGGGAGCGGTAGGAAAGAGGAAGGAAAAATCAAAAAGAAAAAATTTTTTCTTTGCAAGCTGAACATTATCGAAAACTGGTTTCGAGTTAACTTCAAAATTTGATTTTTCATCATTAGGGAGTGAATTTATTTTGGTGTTATTGAAAAGGTATGATAATCTAAGTTACGTTTATGCTTTGAAGAATTCGATGTCCGAATTCGCATTTTTAACATGATGTTTTTTCCTCTGCTATTTTTAAACATGGAAGTCATATTTTAGGTATTTTTCGTGCGGCTGTACCAAGTGGTGCTTCAACTGGTGTGCACGAAGCGCTTGAACTTCGGGACAATGACAAAACTGTCAATCATGGTAAAGGTGTTTTGCAAGCTGTCAAAAATGTCAACGAACATATTGGACCTGCTTTGGTTGCTAAGGTAAGTTATTTTGCTATCTTGTCCGTGTTTGTAGATATAATCATTTTCTTCATTATACGATATGATTGCCCTTTCCCGAGTTATTCTTAATTTACATTACGAAATAGAATCTTCTGCTGTTCGCATTTTTATCTGCGTTATGTTTTTTAAATGAGAAATACTGTCGATTTAACTGTCAAATTCAAGTCTTTTCGTACCAATGAATGACGTTGTCACTCATTATACTTATTGATTTTATAAAGTATTTCAGACTTCAAATCAGTATTTTTCACTTGAAAAAATCAAAATTTGTTACTTATATTTCACAGAATAGACTGAAATTGAATGCAATAGAAATGAATACCTGAAACAGATATTTGTTTGAATATCAATGAACTTTCCAGTAGAAGTGCTAGAAATAAGACTTTTTTCAGAACTTTTGTCCTACTCAACAACGTGAAATCGATCATTTTATGCTAGAGCTCGATGGAACCGAAAATAAAGGTAACATTTTTATTTCAGTGTTCTGAACTTTG